GAGATAAAGGAAGACACCAGACATCAACCACCTTCCCAAAGACAAGAGAGAGAGAGAGAGAGAGAGAGAGAGAGAGAGAGAGAGAGAGAGATTGATTCTCAAAGGACAAAGCAGCAATAGTAATTACTGCCACTCTATGAGCCTGTAAGACAGGCACCTACCCAGTAGGCAGAGGAGGGAGACCAAGCCTTGCCAAGCCAAACAACAGGAAGGCAGCTTTGTTCTTCTTGGTGGTGGTGGTGGGTGGGGGACTTACTTTTGTTAACATGGAAGGTCTTTAACAAAGTTTATATTTGGGGTAGATGAGAAGGTGGGGCTTTGGCTATAATCTACCAAATCAAGTAGGCAGATATAAAACACCCCATGTAGAGCTACTTGAAACATTCTCTCAATCTTATTGTTTACTCCTGAAACATACTTGGAAACAAGAATTTGCTCCATCATGACAGAAGTATTATAAAGGAAAAAGGAAAAGAAATATAAATGGAATAAAGGAAAATGCAAAGACAAAAGGGGCCTGGGCAAAGTAGTGCTAAGTGTTTTCCCAAGAGCACCCTCAAGGGCTTTCTCACAGCAGCTGCCATCTCCTGTGTGAGCCACCGCCTATCTTTCAAAGTGGGTCTTTGGAGGCCTCCTGGCTCAGGCAACCTGCCCTGCTCCAGAAACCCAACTTTTCCAAAATGTGCTTCCCAGTGACTTTAACAGTGACTGCCCATGAATGAAGAATGGGGGATAAGAAGGGGCCTCCCTCCTTTGCTAATAGTCTCAGGTGGACAATGAATCCTGGACCACCAACACACACTTCTGGATGTGAAGGAACTGGGCTATGGAGGGTTGATTTGAGAAAATCTGTGGTGTCCGTGAATTTGTGAAAAGCATGTCCTAAATGGATGATCCCCAAGTCCATGAGTCTGTATTGACATAAATACATGGGAAGGGAAAAGCTCCTTATAGTAAAATGCCAATTAGTAAATGAAGAAAAAATTATGGAAACAGACTCTCAACATTAGGCTGTAGTAATGCTACAAGCAAGAATCATCAAGCCATGATACAATGAGCCGGGAAAATATAAGAAACATATTCGGGGTTGGACCCACCTTTAATCCCAGTACCCAGGAGACAGAGTCAAGTGGATCTCTGTGAGATGGAGATGGAGCTTGGTCTACATTGTGAGTTCCAGGCCAGCTGGGGCTACAGGGAGACCCTGTCTCAAAAAAACCAAAAAACCAAACCCAGGATGCTACATAGTCTCAAAGTATTCTCTGCAATGTACTTAATGACTCAGAGGCTCCACCTCAGGTGAACCATCAGAGTTAAATAAGTCACCACGTGGCCCCTGAAAAGGACACAGTGTCATTTCTACGGTTTTCTTGCCAAAAATACACAACTTGGATTTTGTTGTTTTAGGGACATAGTCTCACCATATGAAGCCCAGGCTGGTGTCGAACTCAAAATCCAAACCCCCTGCCTCTCTGCCTTGAGTGCTGAACTGTAGGTAAGTGCTCTCCCACTAGTTTATAACCTAGATGCAATCAATATATTAATTGGTTCTGTGTGTGTGCGTGCGTGTGTGTGTGTGTGTGTATGAGTGTGCACGCATGTATATGCCTATAGCTTGTTACTGAGGAAGCTGAAATGAGAGGATCATTTGAACCCAGGAATTTGAGACTAGCCTAGGCAACACAGAAATTCTGTTTCAAGAGTATATGTGTGTGTGTGTGTGTGTGTGTGTGTGTGTGTGTGTATTGGGGGGCGGTATTTCAGGCAAACTAAAATTAACAGTATTTTACAAAATATTGGTCTATTCTCTAAAAAAGTCAAGGTCTTGAAAGATGAGGAAGTAGTCAGGATTAAAGGAGACTAAAGAGATCCAACAGCTAAATGCATGATTATTAGGTCCTCTACCAGGAGAAAGTTACTTCCTGATTTTGATAATTAAGTTCCCATCAAAATGTTCATACTCCTGCAAAAGGATATGGGAAAATTTTTATCCTATTTTTGACAGCCAAAATTACTTCACCATGAAAAGTCAATAATTGAAAGCATATACTAGGCATACCTATGATTGACACTAGCCTTTCTTACAATGTCTGGTACCTGACACTTGGTGGGATGGTGTGTGTCAGGGCACAAGAGCTCTGCACCCACATGGGAGGGTGTCAGGATCCACATGGGGCTTTATAACAGTCACATACAGACTTCCCAGATTTATAAGTAAAATAAAAAGTAACATGCAGAAGCTATAACAACGTCCTTAATGAGTTTCCAGAACAGTCACAGGTATGCCAAATCAAGCCTTCAGCTCTAGAAGCTGTCCCTCTGTGAGGTCCAATATGATCAGAGGGCTAGAAACACAAGTAGAAAACAGCAAAATGTTGGTCACTTACTTGTCCTGGGACTCAATATACACGTAGAGATGAGGCTCAAAACACTTGGAAACAATACCATGAAATGGATTGTCTAGGGCTTTAGGCTTCTTTGGCTGGAGAGAGTGAGAGAGAATATGAATAAACATAAACCCTAAGTTTGAGTAATTGTTTCAAGTTTTCAAGCAATTTCAAAGAAAATATTATTTCGAAGTTCTCTCATAGCTCGCAGATGAGGGAGCAGCAGGAGGGGCTATCCCATTTGGATTCACCCTGTGAGTCACTGCCAGATTGTCAGCATCTCTGACTTGTTGCAGATGATGAGATTTATTGCTACTCTGATACTATATGCACTTTCAATTTGGTAGCTGGTCATCATCAGACATTATAAAAATGTAAATCCTGGCTAAATTTTAAAGAGCACCTTATATTTGTATAATCTATTTATTAAATGTTATTATGTGCCAAACACTAAGAACTTGGTATTGATACTAAATAACATCTGACTATTCCTCACAACAATCTTTCATGTATATCTTGTTACTATTATACATCTCAGGAAATGGAGGTGCTGAGCCAACAGCTTCCCAAAGGCTTGTGGTCAGACTTTCTATTTCCTGAATGAATCCTAGACTTTGGACTTTCACTAACAAATAATGTAAGAAAAAGAAAGGTGGAAGGCCACCAGATGTGTTGCCAACTCATTCTGCTACTTTCAGGTCTCATCAAAGTCAAGTACTTTAAACATTACAGTTTTCATAAGAATAAAACAGCAGCATAAACACAGCCCTTCCTAAGAAAGCAAGGTTGGCAAACTTACTGTAGGGGGGAATATCTTGTCTGGAAAATCACTTTGTTAAGCAGGTTGCTTGGCAGGCAATCATTTAAAAATTATATTCTTCCTAACTCCTTTCCAAGGATCTAAAAAATTAAGAATTTCCTTATGTATTACTTTCTAGTCCTAAAAAACTGTTAATTCTATTTATTATCAAATTTCAATGAACCCACAAAATATTTGCTGAATAGAACTGCCCATATCTTTTTCCTTTTGTAGTGCTGGGGATCAAACCCAAGTCCTTGCACATACCAGCAGACACTCTACCACTGAGCTACACTAAACCACCTTAGTGAGGAATGACTAAAAAAAAGGGGGGGGGGGTCGGGATATAGCTCAGTTGGTATATTTTTAAAAAGCCATATATACTTAATATATATCTTCATGAGCTAGGAAACACACTATACATAATTTATACATCTCGATGAACTCAGAGATAAGCATAGACTTAGGACAGTAACAGCCATCAAATCATGAGTACACCTATTTCCTCTCATCTCCATTATTATCATCATCATTATTATTCGTGGCAAGAATATTAACATAAGTCTACCTTCTTAAACTGCTCTATCTTAATAGGTACTGGAAAAAGCCAGGTGTGGTGGCATACACCTGCAGTTTTAGCTACATGGAAGACTAAGGCAGGGGGATCACTTGAGCCCACAAGCCTGAGACTAACCTGGGCAATATGGTGAGACCCCATTTAAGAAAAAAAAGTACTGGGGCTGTCAAGATGGCTCAGTGGGTAAGGGCACTTATCTCAAAGCCTGATGACCTGTGTTTGTTCCCCAGAACCTACACAGTCGAAGGAAAGAACTAATATCTACAAGCTGTCCTCTGACTTCCACATGTGTGCCATGGCATGTGGTCCTTTCTCTCATATTCTGAATAAATAAAATGTAATAAGAAAATTTAAAAATAGCTGGGCTTGGTGGCACATGCCTTTAATCCCAGCACTTGGGAGGCAGAGGCAGGTGGATCTTTGTGAGTTCGAGGCCAGCCTGGTCTACACAGTGAGTTCCAGAACAGCTCATGCTACAGGGAGACCCCGTCTCAAAAAGACCAAATAAATAAATAAATAAATAAACAAATAAATAATTAAACAGGGAGGTAAAGAAAAAGAAATAACCTAAAAGAGAGGAACAGTAGGAAATAGGCCTTAATAAGGGAGATATTGCTAAAAATTGGGTTAGTTTAAGGGAGGGGGGAGGGAAGGGTATACAAGGAACCTAGGGGATAAAGGGAAAGAAGGAGCTCAAGAGAGGTAG